GTGATTTCTCGCTTTCTATCTCTCTGTCTCTCTCTGTCTTTCTGGTGAGCGCACATGCTCTATAGCAAAAACCTCTCTAAAAAAATAAAAATTTAAATTTTTTTTTTATTTTAAAAAGAATTATTTAATTATTTAATTTATGGGGCTGGCTGTCAGGTGGCATGGTGGTTAAGGACGCGGACTTCCACATGGTTGGCCGCAGTTCCAGTCCGAGACCTGGTGGCTTGCTTTCTCACTGTCCCTCTTGTTCTGTTTCTTTCTGGTCAAAATGAATAATAATAAATTAAGTTAAATAATTCTTAAAAAAAAAAAAAAGATGATGCCAATGGGAAAAAAAGTTTTAATATTTTAGAAAGTAATTCAGCTAACCCTTTCCAGCTGAATGAGCACTCTACAGAAACCTCCAAAAATGGGCATACTAGAGTTAAAGCAAGCCGATCCGTGCAATTAAATGAAATAATTTTAAGAAGGAATTATTTATGGCGAACCAGCAGGTGGCGTGGTGGTTAAGGTGCCAGACACTCCCATATGACCAACCATGGTTCAAGTCCCAGACCTGGTGGCTTGCTTTCTCTCTCTTTCTCCACCCCCCCACGTTTGTGTGTGTGTGTGTCTGTCTGGTCAAATTAAATGAATGAATAAATAAAATTGAACAAATTATTTAAAAAAGAGTTATTTATTATTATTATTAGAGAGATTTTTGCTATAGGGCGTGTGCGCTTGCCAGAGAGACAGAGAGCAAGGAATCACTCCCTGGGAGAATGGCCATGCCACAATCCCTTCTTCTCCAGTTTCCTCTTGGGATTTTGGGCCCGCACACACAAGTGCCCAGTGAGTCTCAGGCCGCCGGATTCGAGATTTGAACTGCGGTTGACTAAGTGAGAGTTCCAGGAATGTAACCATTATACCATCTGCTGGTCCCTATTATTGTTTTATTAATTAATTATTTATTTGTTGTTGTCGTTAGTTTTTTACTATAGGGCACACATGCTCCCGGGAGAGACGGAGACAGACTGAGAGACAGAAAGCAAGAAATCACCCCTCTAGGGGCATGGCCATGCAACAATCCCTTCTCCTCCATTCTTCTCTCAGGATCTTGGGCATGCACGCACGCACACACACACGTGTCTGGCGTGAGATTTAACCCACTGTCCAGAACTTGAACCTCAGTCCAGTGATGTAACCATTAAGCCACCTGCCAGTCCCTATTATTATTATTATTATTATTAATTTGCTATAGGGCCCATGAGCTCACCATAGAGACAGAAAGAAAGTGAAAGTGAGAAAACAAGCCACAGGTCGGAGACTTGAACCGCAGTGAGCCATGTGGGAGTCCAGCACCCCAATCACCACGCCACCTGCTGATCCCAACCACTTTTTTTCCCCTTTATTCCAAAAATATGGAACAGTTCACGAATTTGCGTGTCATCCTTGCACAGGGGCCATGCTAATCTTCTCTGTATCGTTCCAATTTTAATACATGTGCTGCTGAAGTGAGCACCCAACTACTTTTTCTTTTTTTAGAGGTTTTTGCTATAGGGCGCACGTGCTCACCAGAGAGACAGAGAGACAGAGAGCGAGAAATCACCCCCCAGGGGGATGGTCATGCCGCAATCCCTTCTCCTCCATTCTCCTCTTGGGATTTTGGGCATGCACACACACACACCTGGCGTGAGTTTAAGCCACCAGGTCCGGGACTAGAACCGCAATCAACTACATGGGAGTCCAGCGATATAGCCATTATGCCAACTGCTGGTCCAGCACACAACCAATTTGTAAAAAAAAATAAAATAAAAAGCCATTTGTTGTAGAGTGCATGTGTTCACTGGAGAAAGAGAATCCCTCTCTCTCATTCTCCTCTCAGGATTTTGGGCACACACACACATACACACACACACTCCTGGCATTTTATCAAGCCACCAGGTCCAGGATTCAAACCACAGAGTTGGCCATGTGAGATCCAGCCACCTTTATTACCACAACACCTGGCTGGCCCCAGTGACACCACTTTTCAGCCAGTGCAAATGTGTTTACCTATGGGCAAACACAAGTGAAGCATTTAGAGCAGCCCATGGCACGTAGGAAGGGCAATCTGTTCCCTAGCCTCGTTTTGTTACTTTTTACACTGTTGTTACTTGTTATAGTTATCATTGTTATCTTAGGTTTTCTGGGAATCAGACATTTTGGTTTTGCCAGAGGAGGCTTGCACTTGCCAGAGAGATCAAGAGGGGACAGAAAGCACCTCCAGTGGGGTGTGGTCCCACCATAATCCCTTCTCCTCTCTCCATCCTGTCAGGATTCTGGGTACACACACAGATGTCCCGGTGTGTTTTCCAAACCGCTAAGGTCTGGATTAGCACTGCAGTCGGCCACGTGGGACCTAACTGCCTTAGCCACTATGCCATGGGGCTGGTCCGGGAGAACCAGACTTGGAGACAGGGATCTGCCTGCAGCAGGTCTACTGGGAGCCACACTTCCAAGGGAGCGAGACGAGCGGGAGCGAGACGAGCAGAACAGAGCAGATCGTGATAACAGAGGCCTCAGCCCATGCCCCTAGGAGCTCTGACACGGGAGCAGCTGTTCTGAGGTTGTTCACAGGCTGGCAATATCGACTGCGAGACACGGTTATGAGACCTCAGCAGCTGCACTCCTGGCAGCCGGGGGCTGCGTGCCTCCGTCCTGAAGGGTGAATGTGGGTGGTGCACCAAGCATCCACTACCCTGTTACCACACGGCAGTCCCTCCCATGACTCCCTGTAACTCAAGATAAAGTTTTCCCTCTCTCTTTCTTTCTTTCTTTCTCTTTCTTTCTTTCTTTCTTTCTTTCTTTCTTTCTTTCTTTCTTTCTTTCCTTCCTTCCTTCCTTCCTTCCTTCCTTCCTTCCTTCCTTCCTTTCTTTCTTTCTTTCTTTCTTTTTCTTTCTTTCTTCTCCTTCTTGTTTAGATTTTTGCTTTAGGGAGCATGCGCTTACTGGAAAGCCAGGGAGACAGAAAATGAGAAATTACCCTCGGGGGGATGGTCACACTGGAATCCCTTCTCCTTCATTCTCTTGGGATTTTGGGTATGCACGCAGGTGCGCCTGGCATGAGTTTCAAGCTGCCAGATCTGGAACTCGAACTGAGGTTGAGCGTTCCAGCACCCTAACCACCATGCCACCTGCTGGCCCCAATAAACAATTTTCTTAACCCTTATGCTAGCTAGCATCACCTGCCACACCCTCTCTTCACAACAGCCCACATCTGCCCTTCCTCTGCAGAGGTGCATCCCTCCTCTCAGGGCCCATCAGTGCAGTTTTCAGACCCATGATGTCTGCCTAGCCATCTGCACACCTCCCTCCACCCCAGATTGAGGCCAAATCTAGATCTCGCCTGTGTCCAGAGTTCCGAGAGGTCCTGGATGGGCTGGTCAAGATTTAATGATTTTAGGGGCTAGGAGGTGGTATGGTGGCTAAGGGTGCATGGCCTACCCTGGTTCGAGTCCCAGACCTGGTGGCTTGCTTTCTCACTTTCTCTTTCTCTCGCTCACTCCGTCCCTCTAAATAAATAAATAAAGCTACATAAAATAATTCTTCAGGGTCCGGTGGGTGGCAATGGCTGTTAAGGTCTCTGGGCTCCCACATGGCTGACCTGGTGGCTGGCTTTCTCACTTTCTCTGTGTGTCTCACTCTGGTCAAATTAAAAATAAAATAAAATAACAATAGTCATAAATAAAATAAAGGAAATAACTCCTTAAAAAGAAAAAAGACTTAATGTGACAGGGAGTAGGTCCCCCCCCACCGTCCCCCAGGGAAGTGGCGCCCAGCCCTCCCCACCCTCAGTGCAAATTCTCTTTCCTGCTGGGAATAATACAGTACCAGAGACTCGGCTTCCTTCCTTTCTGTTTCCTTCCTTGGGGGAGGGAGAGGTTTGGCAGGGGGAAGGGGCTTCTTGCCTGGAAACTGGGAAACAGGCTTCCTTGGGAAGAGTCCTGCCGTATGCCCCAGTCTAGGCTGGAGTGCCCCAGGCCTGGTGAGCAAGTGGAGAGCCGGCAGGGCTCCGCGGGGGGAGAGGGACATTCTCGAGGCCAAGGCTGCGTGCGGAGGTGGGAGGACTGGACAGCAGATCCAGCCTGGTAAGTCCTGAAACAAAGTGTCCTGTGCACCTCCGTGCCGGAACAGGGGCCAGCAGAGCCCGTGCCCGCTGCCTCACTTGCCACCTGCAAAGACGCCGCTGAGAACCCGGTACACAAAGCCTCTTGGTGCCGTCCCCATCACACCCGCCTTCCTCTGGTCTCCTGAGGGAGCCAGGCAAGAGCCTTCCTCCTTCCCAGAGGGGCCTAGGCAGAGGCCTCAGCTCCAGGGCGCATCCACACTGCTGACTCTCACCCAGACCCTTATCTCCGTCCCACCTCTGCTCCAGCTCCTCCAGGCCTGCCATGGACTCCTCAGCCCCGGACGAGATGCAGCCCGAACTTCCCCCTGGTATGAGCCTTTCTGGGTGGGCCGTGGGATGATGGCAAGAAAATGGGAATGGTGGGGTTGGGTCCTCCTGCAGGTCTGGCTGGAGCTCTACAGGGCGGTGAGAGGAGTGGACTGCCCTGGGAATGGGTTTGGCAGCCACTTCCTGCAGGCCCTCCCTGACTGACACGGCTGCCCAGGCTCTTCCTGCCCAGGGCCTGAGTGGCCAGAGCAGGAGAGGGCGGAGCAGCTGGCCCGAGGGGCAGCGCTGAAGTGGGCCTCAGGCATCTTCTACCGGCCGGAGCAGCTGGCCAGGCTGGACCAGTACCGCAGCCGCGAGGTGCAGCGGACCTGCTCCCTGGAAGCACGCATCAAGGTAGACGTGTGGCCAGAGGTGACAGTGCTGGGGGGTGTGGGGACTCAGGGCTGGCCAGGACTCACTGGCTCCTCTCTCCACAGTCTGTAGTGCAGTCATACCTGGAAGGCGTGCAGACCGGTGTGTGGCAGCTGACCCGGGCCCTTGAGGCTGTGCAGGGTACCCGTGAGGCTCTGAGCCAGGCCCGTGGTCTGCTCCAGGGTGTGACCCAGGCCTCACAGACCCTAGAGCCTCTGCGGGAGCAGGTTGCCCAGCACAGGCAACTACAAGCCTTGTATCAGCTGCTGCCCCGGCTGCGGGCAGGTGAGTGTGGGACCCTGAGTCTCAGCCTCCAACAGTCAGTCAACAAACACTCATTCCAAATCAAGTGGCTGGGAAGTTGCACAAAGGGACATAAAAGGGCCTTCCCAGGGAGTAACCCAGGTTTCAAATGGTGAATGTGGCAGGGTGCAAAGTCAGCTCCCACTGGTGATTCTGATAAGGGTGGATTCCCAGTCGAGGCAGACTAGCCGTCTCGTCTCAACTGCTGACATATTGAAATACTCCCCTAGCAGAGCGAGTGAACAGCCACGGCCATGGCCGCCCGGTTCTCCCTGACTTCTCTCCAGGATCGACTTTTAGCTCGAGGGTTAACGCCTGTCCCACCAGGCCTCTAGGACATTGCCTGGATCCTTTCAGATGGGGCCATGCTCTCCTGGTTCTTCGATGTGTTAGACCCCACTCCAGCCCCAGCTCAGAGTCCCCCGCTGTCCACACAGTGCAGCTGGGAAGGCTGAGACCAAGGCTGTCTCCTCTCCTCCCTCCCCAGTGCCGGCTGCGATGGCGCACACACGCACCCTGATTGATGCCCAGCGGCTCTTGGAGGCCTACGTGAGCCTGCGGGAGCTGGAGCAGCTGCGAGAGGAGACATGGGCATCCCTGGGGGGCCTGGAGTTGCCAGTCTTCCAGGGGCTAAGCCTTCTGGCAGAGGCTCTGGGCCAGGCTGTGGAGGCGGCTGCAGGGGCCGCAGGGCAGCTGGCACGGGAGGACCCAGCCCTGTTGGTGTCTGCCCTGCGGGTGGCCGAGGTGGAATCTGGGCGCACCGCCCCACTGGGGCAGGCACCTCGGGACTGGCGGCAGCGCTGTCAACGGGCACTACAGGAGGGCCTGGAGAGGGTCCACTTTGGAACACTTCAGCTGCCAGGGCCAGGAGCGATAGCAGGGTGGCTGGAGGCCCTGCGGGTGGCCCTGCCAGCTGAGCTGGCCACAGCTGAAGCACTGGTTGCACCCTGCTGCCCACCACACTACAGAGTGGTCCAGCTGTGGGCCCACACCCTGCACAGAGGCCTGCGCCGCAGCCTGCAGCAGCTCCTGGCACGGCCCGAGCTGGGAGCTGCTGACGCCTTTGCCCTGCTGCACTGGGCACTGCACGTGTACCTGGGGTCAGTGCTCTTGGGCCAGGGGAAGGTGAGTGGACCAAAGGCTAGGAGCTCTGTGTGACACTGGGCCACACATCCACCTCCAGGCAGGAAATGATGGGGAGCCTGGAGCTGGGGCCTGAGGCTGACCTGTCCCAGCTGGAGCCACTTCTGACCTTGGAGAATGTTGAGCAGCTGGAGGTGACATTTGTGGCCGAAGTCCAGGTGAGTAGTTGGGGCGCAGGTCCAGAGAAGCTCTGCCCACCAGCTGTTGGCCTTCTATCTGTAGAGCTGAATGTCTACTGGCAGGGTCAGTGACCTGTTGTACCCCTTCCTCTAGGCAAATGTGGCCCAGTGGCTGCAGAAGGCACTGGATGGGGAGGTAGCTGAGTGGGGCCGGGAGCAGGAGCCCAACACGGACCCATCTGGCCTCTACCACTCACCAATGCCAGCCATTGTGCTGCAGGTGGGTAGGAAGTGGCCAGGGAGGTGGGCAGCTCCCCCTGCAGAAAGGGGAGGAGGGAGGGCTAGGGCTTGGCTGACGGCTGCTTGTCACTACCTGTAGATCCTGGTGGAGAACATTCGCCTCACCAGCGTGGTCAGCGAGTCGCTGCAGCGGCGGGTGCACAGCATGGCACTGTCAGAACTGGGCGCGTTCTTGAGGAGGTGTGCCAAGGCACTGACCCACTCCCAGTCCCCTGCCCTACTCCCACAGCAGCCCAGAGGGGCTCTGAGTGAATAAGTCACACCGGTGGGAAAGGGTCCCTCTTAACAAGGACTTGGGTATCTTGGAGGTGGGGCAGGGGTACTAGGGAGTGGGGTTGTGGAGGCGCCAGAGTAGCAGGGTGTCCTGGAGCCACATCTGCCCATTGCAGCTTCAGTGATGCTCTGATCCGATTCTCGCGAGACCATCTCAGAGGGGAAGCGATGGCCCCTCATTACGTCCCCTACCTACTGACTGCCCTCAACCACCAATCGGCACTCAGGTACCAGGGGCCCACACAGAATCCACCTTCACTACTGCTTTATCAAAAATCCTGTTGTGGGGGCTGGTGGGTGGCGGTGGTTAAGGGTACTGGATTCTCACAAGGCTGACTACAGTTTGAGTCCTGGACCTGATGGCTTACTTTCTCGCTTTCCCTCTCTCTCTCTGTCTAGTAAAATTAGAAAATAAATGGAATTAAATAATTCTTAAAAAAAAAAAAAAAGAAACTATTATGGACCCAGCTCACACTAGGCCACTAGGGACTTTGTCTCACATAGTTCTGGAGTTCCCATCCTAATTCTGTTAATTACTAGCTGTGTGACCTTGGGTGAGTCGCCCAGTCTCTCTGAAGCTCACTCTTCTCCTCTTTTTAAAAATATTTAATTTTATTATTATTCAGTTTGAGCAGGGACACACACAGGCAGAGAGAGGTGAAGGGAGAGTGAAAAAGCAAGCCACCAGTCCAGGACTCCAACCATGGTCGGCCATATGGAAGTCTAGTGCCTTAACCACCATGCGCTTGCCGGCCCCTTTTTTTTTTTTTGAGATTCTTGCTATAGGACGCGTGCACTTGTAGAAGAGACGGGGGAGGGGCGGAGAGGTATGGCAACACCACAATCCCTTCTTCTCATTCTTTTTTTGGAGAGGCTTTTTCACTATAGGGCGCGTGCGCTCGCCAGACAGAGAGAGACAGAGACAGAAAGCGAGAAATCACCCCCCGGGGGGGATGGTCACACCACAACCCCTTCTCCTCCATTCTCCTCTTGGGATCCTGGGCACACACGCACACGCGCCCGGCGTGAGTTCTAAGCCACCGGGTCCGGGACGCAAACTGCAATCGACTACGTGGGAATCCAGCGAGATATCCATTACGCTAACTGCTGGTTCCCTCGTTCTTTTTTTTTAAAGAATGATTTATTTTTGTAATTAATTCCATTTGTTATTAATTATTATTATTATTATTATTTTAATTTGACCTGAGAGAGACAGAGAGAAAGGGAAAGTGAGAAAGCAAGCCACCAGGTCCAGGACTAGAACCACTGTCAGCCATGTGGGGATCCTTTTGCCACCATGCCACCTGCCGGCCCCCCTTCTTCTCAACTCCTTTTAGCACCATGCCACCTGCCGGCCCCCCTTCTTCTCATTCTTCTCTGGGGATTTTGGGCACATGCACATGCGCTGCGCATGAGTGTCAAGCTGCTGAGTCTGGGACTGGAACTACGTCGAAGTCCAGCGTCATAACCATTACACCATCTGCTCAGCGCCTGAACCTCACTGTTCTCATTGCTCTTACATGGGTGATAATGGAACGAGAATCACATGAGATAGCAGATGGGAAGTACCCGCCACAGTACCTGGTACATAACGTCAACTATCCATTTGTTCAAATATGTATCAAGACCCTACTCTGTGCCAGGTAGTGTCTGGGCTTACAGAACAGAACAGAAAAAAAAAATTCCTTCCCCCTGGGTATTATGTTCCTTGTGGTGGGGGTGCGGAGCAAACTAGTTAATTACTTGTACTCCCTCCTGACTGGGATTCGCCTCCTCTCTTTACGGATGAGGAAACAGAAACCGAAACAATGATTTGCTCAAGGCCACACAATTAGTGGCAGGTCCCGCTGTAAACGTGTCTCAGTCCTAGCCTCGATGGGCGCCATGTACCCTCAGTACAGGAAGCCGCCCTTCTCCCTTCTCTCGCCCTGCACCTGAGCCACAAGGTGGCGCCCGAGTGGACGGCCTGTGCGGGCCTTGGCCTTGGTCCTGAAGCCTCATTTTTTTGGTCGGTCTAGCTCCTCAGTGTCCGTCTTGCAGCTAGACGGGGTGGCTTCAGTGGCCTTGGCTCCAGTGGAAGCCGCGCTGGACGAGTTGCAGAGGAGGATCTGCCGCCTGGTGTTGGAGGTGCTGCTGGCGGAGCTCCAGGTCGGGATGGGTCCCGTGGAGAGACAGTGCATGTATGTGGATCGCTGCAGAGAAGGCCGGGTCTGAATAATTTCTCCAACCGGGTCTCCGCACCCCCTCATCTCCTCTTCCGCAGCCCCTGTTCGCGGCTCTGCCCTCGCGCCAGTGGTTGTCGAGCCCTGAGCTGCTGAATGGTGTGTGTGAGCGGACGGCGCACTTCTGCCGGGACTTCTGGCGCGTGCGGAACCCCGTGGTGCAGGTGTGTTGGAGGGAAGGCTGGGGAGGGGGCAACGTGGGTGGAAAAGACGACCTAGAGCCGCCTGATCGCCTTCCCCACAGTCACTGCTGGCCGAGGCAGAGCGCGCCGTGGTGCTGCAGTACCTACGCGCACTGATGCAGGGGCGCCTCGTGTGCCGCGGTGCCGACGAGCGAACCCAGGCGGCGGAGCGCCTGCGGCACGATGCCGACCAGCTAAGGGAGCTTTTCCTCGGTTTGGTGAGGGCTCAATGGGCGGGCAGGCGGGCGAGAACTCAGCGGTTGGGCGGAGGCCGAGTGTGGCGCGAAACTTTGCCCCGACGTACTCAGGGCCTGGAGGAGAGCTTGCACTGCGCGCCGGTGCTTCTCGCCTTGAGAGCGCTGCTGCACCGCCGCGG